AAAAAAAAAAAAACATTTTAAATTATTTTAGAAGTCGTGTTCTAGCTCGAAATTAGAGTTGATGTAAGAAATGTAATGTCGAGCCATACTCGACATAGGAATCCTAAGGGTTAAAACTCGACGAAGGAAAAAGGAACCATTTTGGAATAGAAATTTTGTTACCATAATTTCGATTGTGCAGAAGATATTTTATGTAATGGACGGTGTTCAAGTCATTCATGGAAATTTTTAGATGGTTACATGAAAATATTTCGTATGTCCATGTGTTAACACGGAATATTCTAAAAGTCAAAATAAATATAAAAATTTGCTATACAAAAATAAATATTGAGATTCATTTATAAATAATTGAGGTTTATGTTATGGATAAGGTGAGAGAGAAAGAGAGGTGTGATGGAGAGTAAAAGTACTTCAGTCTGTCTAATGTAAATTTCAATCATTTATATTGATAAGCGAGCTTTGAGCAATATTTTCGAATACCAACTTTAGAATCGAGCCCTTGAATTTGAAATAATATTAATCTGTTCACGATAATTTGACAAGTGAATTTATCTGGATCTATCTATTTATTTTATTTAATAGAATTTTATTCAAATATCCAAAGATCCTGATTAATTAATTAATTGAATTATTAGGAACACGAACAAGAAAGATATTAAATAATTAAGAAAAACTTTTTACGATTCAATATATTTTTTAAGAAAGGTAAAAATATTAATATTTTAATTGTCTTTCCTTATATATAAATAACTTTAAGTACGAGTAGGATTTTTTAATTTTGCTTCTTCTCTTAGAAATTTGCACGATTCTGCAGTTTGGTATTCCATTTTAAAACATCGTGTATAATTTATATCTTTTTTTCTTTTTTTGTTTCAGGACGAAAAGAACCAATTGCTCATCACGAATCTCTGGTTAAAATTGGTGAGTTATTTAATGTATCATGAATATAATGAAACCTTTATAAAGCTATAGGAAAAATACGAGCTAATTTCACGTGGCAATTGCAATCAAAATTTAATATCGATGTTGAATAATTCTCATTGACTAATTAATTAAAAAAAAAAAAGAAAAAAAATGAGAGAAACCATGAAAAAATTTTATCGAGAGAGAAATATAATAAAACTATCGTTTAATGAACCAATTAAAAGATGAAAATTATCAAACAAAGAATTTTCGTATAAAAGAATTGAATATGTAAATGTATTAATTTATATTTTAAATATAAAAACAAAAAAAAAAAGAAGGAACAAAATTACATAAATTTCTATCGATTCGAGTAAAAATTTTTTTTGACTCGTGAATCTTTAACATTCGAAAGAAGAAAGAGAAGCGAATAATTCACGTGATATTTTGAAGTTCGATTTCTAATTACAGATTACAAAAGCCAATATTCGAATTAACTACGATTACCATCTTCAATAATTGTTGACCATACAAATTTCTATGCAATTCAGTACAGTTCCTAACGATATTAGATCCACATCGAACCCAATATTCCAATTAGCCATAATTTTGTTTCAAATAATTACTGTTCTGACTGATCATAGATCATTCACAAATTCTTACTATTAAAAACATCCGATATTACTTCAAACATTTGTATAAAACTTAAACAAAAATACTTGAATTAATATATGATTATAACTTCAGTGATCACAAATACCTATTGCTTTTTAAGAAAAATTTTTAACAACTTCGAAATTCTAAAAAATAAGTAAAGTCTAAGTTCATCATGGAATTTTCAATTTTACGAAGTAAAATTCCTAATCACACATTACAAAACTTAATAATAATTGAAAATTACTATCACTGCGATCATAAATTGTTCAAATTCTTCCTTAAATAAATTTTTTTCCATAAAACTTACACAAAATTCAACGTGAATCGATCATAAATTTCCCAAATCGAAACTTCTATTCCAATATATCAAATCCAAGTTGGAGGAAAGGATCACGTGGTATTATTTTGAAGTTCGAATCGTGGTCACAACAGATTCTTATCAACTAGAACTATTAATAGAGGCACGGGCAACAGGTACTCCCGTTGGAGAGGGTGAAGTGGCGCACCCTTATTAGGGTAGACCGCCGTAATATTTCCTTTCAGGAGGTTTCGAACCGCACTTTAAAACGCTTGTCGTTGCTCATTTCCAACGGCTTATGCCTCGTCAATCCTCGCCCTCATCCACAACCCCTATCAATGCCTGCGTCATGAGGCTTTGCAATGACCCAAATTCACAGTTAACGATTCGACGATGATGTTTTCGGCTCGATCGACGAGTCGAATGGCCGAATCTTTCGGCCATTTCGGCCGATTTCTATGTTAACAATTAAAATGGGAAACATAGAAACACGCTCGAATCTATCTCTTCGTTGATACGAGATTAATATTTGGGATGATCACCCGACGTTGATAAATTAAACGAACGGATACAAATGAGACGATGATTTCGAGATCGTTAGACGTGAGACGAAGGGATTCGAAATGAATAGCATTTTTATGTGTAAAACATGTAATGTATGTTGAATCTAAATCCTCTTTTTTTCTATTGTTAATCGAGATATGTAATTATAAAAGCTACGATCTTGAAGGTAATTCATTTATTATTTTATCTATTTGTTTTGTTTTGTGCATTTTTTAATTGAATTTAAAAGAAAATTGTTTTATTTCTTTTGTTCCTTTTTTTTTTAGATACAAGAAAATGTATTTGAAATTCAGAAATTAAGAATAGAATCGAAACTAATATCTCGAATGAGATCAACTTTTACGATATTCGAATAAAATACACAACTTTATTTTACTTTTATTTTAATATCATATCCGTGAAAAGTGAAATTTCTCAATCTTTTTCAGAAAAGAAAAAAATTTATTATTTTAATTTAACTTTATTTCACATAATAATGTAGATGGATTTATTTTTTCATATTTTTATTAAAATATTATTAGAAACTCCTAAGTCTTGTAACATGATTTCAATTATTAAAATTATTCCATGAAAAATAAATATAGAAATATTCAAAATCAAATTTCTATTTCCTTAAAAATAGAACGTATCGATTATTCTTGAACAGTAATTATAATGTAATTAGAACTTATTAATAACAATGACAAGAAATCAATAATACACCATAAAGAATAATCAAAGAAGAAAGAGAATTATTTTAATTCGAAATTCTATTTCACTAGAATATTAATTGTATTACATTGCATGAAACATCGTAATTGTTTATTAAATCCATTGTATAAAATACTGCATCAACTAATTAATCATGTGATCGAGTAATGCAAACAAATATAACATAATAGAGATCTTTACAAGATCTTCTGAAAATTAAATCCATATAAATTTCTACGATTCTCCTTATCTCTTTCGATTTTATGAATACTTCAATTTTATTGTATATTCATCTTCATGAAAACAATACATTATATATTTTTCAATGTAAAAATTAAAAGAGAAATAATTGGAATATTAAAAAATCTAGAAAAATATAGAAAATTTCAAAATTCATGAAATAAATATTATATTTGTTTTCTAATATATTTACTTATATATGTCTATATAGCCTACTCTTTATGATTCTTTCATATAATAAAAATATATTACCGATTATTTTTAAAAAAAATTCCAAATGCTTTCAAACTTTTTCGCGGTAGTGTACATGCGCAGTATGAACAAATAAAAAAAAAAAAGTTTCATCTCTTTTTAACCTTTTTCGTCTACCCTTGGATGTCAAGTGCACGAGTAGTAAGGGAGTGAACTTAACGCACAGCTGCACTTGACTTGCACCGCCTGATATCTTTTTGAATATAAGTCGCTGAGATATTCAACAACTTCGAGATAAGACTCGGAGATATTCAAGATATGTTTGACGTTTTCACGTATCGAAACCACGTCCTACATATTTTCCTGATAGCATTTCTATCAAATACATTTGTGTCTCAGCCAAGAAGAAGGGGACAATCAGAATCAAATGTTCCTCTGCAATAACTCAGGAATATCTTCACAATTTTTATTTAATATCTAGGAGCTATGAAGTAATCGTACGATTAAAATTAAAGTTACGAAATATTTTTATAAAAATATAAAAATTGTGTAAGTGATATGGAATTTTATATATGCGATGGAACACACGGAATTGAAAACCCCTTCGATTATTCATAAGAAATGGTTTTAGCGAAGAAAGTTGAACGAATGGTTTCAAGAAAGATATAAATGTAAGTGAATCGTTTTTTTTTTTTTTGTAAATGGACGCGTATATGAAGATTTGTTTTCTTATATGGAATTATATATTTTATAAGTTATGTATTCAATTCTATATTAATTTTGAAATTATTTAAATCTATAAATTTTATATAAATTTTAAAAGAAATAATGTTTGAAATTTTAGTATACAATTCCTATCACAAAATTTATCGTATACTTTTTTAAATGTTAATATTAAGATTATTTTTAAGATAATAAAAAATTAAATGTAATGTAAAATCTAAAATTATTTATTTGAATTGCTACTTTTCAGAAAGAATCAATACGTTGGAAAATTGAAAACTGTAATCATGTATCAAACATGTACAAATACACGTGTAATTCATTAAACACTTCCAATATACAAAATTAAATAAACAGATACTTTAATAATGAAAAGGAATCTTTCTGATAGATGATATAAAATTAATTTTCTTTGAGTCAACTTCAAATTAAAATAAATTCACAAAATAAAAATAATTTTCAAAATAAAAATAAAATAAATATATATTTTGGCAATAAATAGTGTATCTTATCGTAAATAATAATAATTTAATAATAATATTGAAAAACTATTTAAATAAAAATATAAAAAAAGTTATTCTATGATATAATATTTTAAATGATTAATCTTTTTTAAAAAATTAAGAAAAAGAACACATTAAACAAAGAGAAAAATTATATATTAACAATGATATTTGTGGATTAATGTGAAAATTTGAAATGCAATAGATATTATGCACCTCGTATCCAAGGTTGCTTCGCTTTCATTGAATCTATATCAACTGTTACGCTGCATTTGCATAGTTTCTCATTGAGGTCATGGGTTAGAGAATGCAAAGATACATAGCATATTTCTGCATATCCCCTCCATAGCATACCAACACATTGACATACAAGAAATATGTATTAAGCGACATGCACGAAACGCCGCATAATTTGCATATGTGCAAAAGATTCCATGTCAGTTGGTCATACATTGATTACTTATTAAAGATTCAAATGTGTTACAGCATATAAACTATGCTATATTTATACGGTAATTACCAAGTTGGATGACTATATATTATACAACTTCTGACAGAAGGTGGACATCCTTTGCAAGAAACTTTAATCGGTTTATAAACATCAATCTTAATTTAGTTTGCATAGTAATCGAAACATTAGGTTGTTGAAAAGACAAATTTTCAGATGACAAATTTGGATACTTTGTTTCAAATTTGAAATTTTTATCAATATTCAAATTAAATTATTTATTATTTAAAATATATAATATTTTATATCAAATATTTTAATATGAAAAATTAATTTTAAATATTTTACTATTTAATTTAAACAATTTTCTTCTGAAATTATTCTATCGTTATTTGATTAATTTAAAATAAAAAGAATTTTCCGGCTTTTTTTTTATTTTATTATGAAGTTTCTTTTCAAAGTTTTTTATTGTATCGATTATATGCAGCAAGCAAATTAAGCGAGAAAATCTTGCTAATAAGAACATATTTTTTTAATAGATCTGATAAACATAAAAAAATATATATTTATAATTTTACTTCGTAATTTTAACTATACTTATATTTATTATACAAATATATATAAAATCATTTAATTCGATTCGAATCGATGAAGAAATAGAATTTTATTTTATTTCTTTTTTTTTTTTTTTTTTTTAAAAAAT